AACTTCGCGCGGGTGACCCTGCTGCCACTGTCCAGATCATGTCGAAGGCCAAGTCGAAGGCGGCTTCCTCATCCGAAGCGGCATCATCTTCGAGCGGCATCGCACAGGTGATCGGGGACACTGTCAGCCAATTCATCAAACCAAAGATGAGGGATCAGGCTACCATGATTCAGCCCAAGCCTGCTCCGCGGCTCCCAAAGGTTTCAACGGCGACGGGAACGTCTCCCATGGCGTCCCCAAAGCCCAGTCCGCCACCGACTCCGAAGAGTGCAACTGGATCCCCCAAGCCGGAACCACCTGCACTCCCAGCGGAAGCTGCGGACCATCCAATGCCCAAAGCTTTGCCTTTTAAGGCACCGCCTGCAACGTTGACAACAACTTCACCGAGGGCACCTCCGCAGAAGTCATCGGCGCCTGCAGCTACGTCTTCGTCGGAGCCTGCCCCGAAGATGGCCAAGAAGGAGCCGCCTATGGCAAGTGCTCCTCCCCCGGGAACGGGTGGACCTCAGCCTCCGGCTGAACCGCCCTTGCGACCACATGGATATCCCAAGTGGTACTTTTTCTCCCCGGGAACGGGCGAGCGCAGGGAATTCACCGTTCGGTGTACAGACCTGCCAGGCCTGAGGGACCTTGGAAGACTCAGTCATGATGATTTCAAATTTTCCAAGAGGGTGACCGGGCTGCTCCGTGGATATGATCACAAATTCCTCGAGGCGCATCATCGCCATATTCCTCCTGAATTTGATGAGGAGCTGTACTTGAACTTTGAGTCCATGTACACGTACCTCCGAAAGCGGCATCGTGCTCAGCTTTCGCGACAGGACCTGTACCTGATTCTTCGAACTCAGGACAGGTTCATGTGCCGCATTCAGGCTGGAATTGTCGGGGAACTGACAACCATGGACATGCCCTACCGCATCACCCACGTGAAGGCCTGCCAAGGCCATGACCAGTCGCTCATTGACAAGGTGGGAACGGCTCCATTGGTCAAGCAAATCATCTCGCTTGACTACCAGTTCACGGTCGAGGATTTGAAGAAGGGATTCTACCCCAGGGTTCCCATTTATCCTCACCTGGCGGAAGCCGAGGTCTCAGAAGAGTTGTAGGTTATTTACCATTACACTTCATGGGACTCCCTCCAGCAGATCATTTGCACGGGGATTTTTCCAGGGGCCACTTCATGCAAGGGTCATGTGTATATGACCCGCCATGCGCCTTGGGAAATCGAAGGCAAGGATCCTGGTGTCAGGACGAACCGACCGCTGTGCATCGCGATCGACACCGATTGTGCTTTGCACTATGGTCTTCGCCTGGTGGAAACCTTGGCCGGTGCACTCATCACTGAGGACTGGGTGCCCAATCATTGCCTCATCTACGCATTCGACTGCGAGAAGTCGCAATACCTTTGGGCGAACCACGGCTACAACGGTGTGAAGAAGTACCTTCGGCAGAAGGCCTCCGAGAACGCTCTCACTTGGCAAGAGAACGAGGCTCGGAAGGGCACTCCCAACTATGACGAACTTGAGAGGTACGAGATTTCGGACCTGGAGGTGTTGAAGAACATGTTCGTGAATGAGTACGATCAGTGGAAGGATGTCATCACTCTGCGACGTCCGCTCATTTACAAGGAAGTTCCGACACCATACCCTGTCGTCGATGAGTTGCTGCCCAAGTTCAAGCAAAGGCCGCTCAACTTCACCAATCTCCTCTGTGTGGCACGCAAGCCGACGGCAACAGCTGCTGGCTTCGACATCGCCCCTGACAACGCGCGGGAACGCCGTTCTGATCGCTTCGATCAGGAGGCATTTGACCCATCCGCGGAGGGGAACCTCACGCGCTGGCGGTATGTATCAATGCTGGCAATGCCGGAGTTGACATGCCCCCGGTGCAGGAAGATTTTTCCTGAGGGGATGTTGGTTTGCCTTGCATGCGGCTTGTCGTTGGCGACAATGTCCGACATGCGCCGTGCGTGTCAGGTGTTCCGCCTGGAAGAGTTGGCTGAGAAGCTGGGCTTCGAGCTGACATTGGATCTTCTGGGCGACGACGATGTAGCAGGCACCACCCAAGGTGCCAAGCAGATCAGATCTGCTGCGGCAGTCCTCAAAAATCACGCCCGCTCATACATGAAGCAGGCGAGAAAAGCTGGACTGACTTTGCTACAGCGTCTGGGAACGGACGCCCATTACGCCTTTAATTGTGCGGTCCAAGACCTTACACCTCGGTGTATGCATTGGATTACAGTTCTGGGCAATGTGGTGCTTCCCTCCATCAAGCGCACGCGAGAGGAGATCCGAACTGGAAAGATTCGGCAGTACAAAGCGCGTATGTGCATGGTCGCATACGAGGAGGAACAGATGAAGACGATCATTGTGGATGATCATGTCCTCATCTGGTACAAGAACCGCTTTTACAGAGCCAACCAGTTCGCGGCCGCCTATGCCTTGATCCCGGTGGCCGAACGTTTTGAGGTCCTGAGCGTCGCCAACACGACGTTCCAATCCCTTGCGTTGTCCAAGCAGGATGTGTATGCCGACATTCTCAGCTATGTCGAGGACATCTTGCGCCCCCTCACGGAGGCAAAGGACACGGAAGGCGGAAGCCGACCCCTACCTGCAACAAGGCAGCAGAACCCGGATGTCACCAGGTCCTCGCGTCCTGGCTATGGTTCTCATCAGGGGCCCACTCATGGCTACAGTCAGCAGGAATGGAACGACTACTACAACCAGTGGACTGACCAGGAGTGGGAAGATTGGCGCCGTCGAAATCAAGGCCACCAATACAGGGATCGACGTTGGTCGGGCTATCGCTGAGGCACCGCGGAGGGGAACCTCTCGCCTGGTGGATTTATCTTCATCTGAGGCGGGGTAGTTTTCTCTCAAAGTGAGGTGTCGCACAGCGGAAGCTGTTGCCTTTTCGGATTTAATTCGGTTAGGCGACTAGCTTCATTTTTTGCACGCGTGGGTGAGCGATTCCACGATCATTTCCAACACTAGTGTGCTAAGTCGGAATTTTTGCCAACTCAGTCAAGTTCACAAAAGTTTCATTAACGCTTTGAATGCATATAATTTGAAGCAGGCATTAGGCACTCATCTTATTCTTGCCATGATTCCTTCTTGCATAGCACACGGCTGGTAGTTGCATGAACCGCAGAGCGGAAGCTCTTGCCTTGCGAAGTTAAGGCATCTTTGAAGCATTTCTGAAAGCTTCCCTGCGGGTTCACATCGAAACCGAATTCAGCATTTTGCTTTAATTCATTTTGTTTGCTTCGGCATGCTCCCGGGCGTCCACAAGAACTTTTGATGCCGCGTGGAAACGCTGGCCTTTGTAATGGGCCACACTTCAACACGTTTGCATGTTCGACCACAAGCCCGGTAGAGCCAAAATGAAACTGAATGCATTCGGCCGAATTGACTTGCACTGCATCCTTCTTTCGCACAACGTGACGTTAGATTGAATGGATTGCTATCGCTATTGATCTTGTTTGTCAACTTCGTGCAACGCTGAGGTGAAAGTACGAAAGACTTCGAAAGGTTAGGCGACGGTCGGGTTTGGGTTTGTTGTTGTGTTTTCTGTTTATGTTAACTAATGGCATCCCTAACTAGACTGTACATAGCCTAATTTGCAGCTTCACTACCCGGGCGGTAACTACACTGCACGGGGGGTGTTGTTGCACAGTCTTTATGCATGTATACATACTTTTCACCTTATAGATTGTGTTGCATTGGCTCAAGAAATAGTGCGTAGCAGGTGTATTGGGATTGTGGTTTAACCCGGCTTTTATCCCGTTTCTACATAATTACATATATGTACACACACACTATATATATATGATATATGTGTGTATACACACTATATATAAGAATACACTATAGACTATATATATATAATATACCAACTTAGCTAATGGCCTGGGGCACCATCTTGTATCACCGGACAAATTTAAGGGACACCATTAAAAAATGTCAGTTGTTGATGGGATGATTTGCATGGAAAAACACATTTGCTGGGCCAATCTACAGGCAATGCGGGTGTTGTCTATTCAAGAAAGGGACTTGAAAACCCATGGGTTTCCTGAAATCCTGCGTTGTTTTCACCAAACGATATCCCGAAATTGGATCATCTCCCAAAACCCTCAGGCAAGTTGCTTGAGAGGGAGGAAAGAAAGGAAATGGTCGTGTATTCTAGGGCTTGAAAAATGGATGGCATAGTTTGGATGGCATTGGTTGTCTCCTGAACTGGAATTGGCCTGCATTTGGTATGGCAAAAGATGTGTTTTTCTGCGGGTTTTCGGCTTACCCTCACACGAATCCTGCGATGGAAGTGATTGAAGGTTGCTCTCACAACCAAAGGCTTTATCATGTTGAGGGCGGTCTTACCATGTCTTACCTTTCTCCAGTGTGAGATCATGGTGCAACTCAACATTTAGTGCCTGTGTTTAGTTCTTATATGTTCTTATTCGTCCATGCATTCTGTCCACAATCCCATTCAAACATAGCCAAACGGCTCATGGAGACGCAATGACGATTTTCTCCAGCCAAACTGGTTACGAATGGTTTCTCAGTTCTACTGTACCTCACTGAATCACACTTCCTCAGGTGACCCCTCTAGGGTCCAGTGTAGAAATGATTCATGTGCGGTTCCTGCTAGCTTCAAGGTTGCAATTGTCTTGAGCATCCCTAGCCCAGCTGCAAAAACTTACTGTAGACATCTGTAGACATCTGCCAAAAAATGACTTGGTTTGTCTAAAATAGGGCATCCCAAAATTTGATGCTTTACAGTAGAACCTCCTTTTCACATTTCTGTGATAGCCATAAATGGACGGTATGCCCAATATTCAGAACACCCAAATATCATATCAAGTATTATCAAGTTAATCTTATATATAGTAAATTATATATCCCATGAAATTCTCACGAGGTACTTTGTCAGCATGTAACTATATATAATCAAATATATGTATATATATATGATATCATTAACATCCATTAACTACCAGAGGTTCACCCAGAAAAGAGATGTTCATCCAAGACGCTGGACCTTCCTGCGTCTCCACTGGCTCCTCCATAGCCTGGAATCGTGTAGTGCAGGGCTTGCCATACCTGGGCACATCTGCCTGGTGGAAGCTACTTCCAAGGGATATACCCCGCAATTTCTATGGCTTTATATATGATACAGTAATAGGATGTACCTCCTTTTTAGGATCGGAGGAAAAAAAAACATTGAGAAGAGCCATGATGTGAATTTTGTATAATTGTGTAATTAATGAAGAAACGTATTGCTATCAATGGTCTTTTGGACTGAGATGGAGAAACAAAAGGTTCAAATCGACAGGCTGAATCCAAACTTGTACAGTTTTGAAGTTTTGACCGCAGGTTCGGAACAACAACACTTGCATTCCATGACTTTTTTGCGAAGTATCATGATATGAAGATTTCTATCAATGTGAGGGCCCCTCGCAATCATCCATGTTTAATGGGTTTCTTCATCACAAGCCATCCATTGGGGTACCCATGGGTACCATTCACTTTTGCAAACCCTCCATGGCTACTGCTCGCACGGGTCGCAGTGGTTCTTTGCATTCACCAGAACTTCCCAGGGCGTAGTTGCCGCGAACCAGGGCACGATATCTCTTCTTCACCAAGCCCTGGCGATGGTGGTTACCTTCTGGGAATCAGCCATGGCCATGGGAAATCTCCGATTTCAATTGGCATAAACCATAAAAAAATTCTGTAAATAGTTGATTTATGGGGCTTTTCCATTGCCATGTGAGCAATGTTTGATTCCAGAGTAAAAATGACAGTTCAAAGGACCTTTGCAATCAGAGTCATCAAAACGTGCGAATGTCAGCATTGAGTCATCGCCACCCCTTGCGAGGTTCCCACACAAGCAGTCGGGCACCGGAGCGAAAAAAACATGTGCGAAACAAAGGAGGTGAAGATATATAGTGTCATGATGTGCCATGGTGAAAACCTACAAACCATGGCAGTTTTTCTGCGACGGTCATCCAGTCATCCAACCTTTGGGAATATGGTCCATGGCAGCCTCTCCTGTGCGAAGGCTTCAGAGAGCTGCCGCATGGAGCTCTTGCTCTTGGCCAAGACCATCAAGCCCCCGGTCGGCGCGTCCAAACGATGCGCCGGCCGCGCCTGGACCCGCGGGAGGGAAGCTGGGGAGGTTCAAGGACTATGGATCCGGAATCTGGTTCAAACATGAAAAAATGATGAAAAAATACGTATTAAAAACATGTTCAACCAAATTCGCAAACGTCAAGAGAGAAGCATCCAAATTTCGGGTTTTTGAATGACTATGATCATCTATTTACTGTACAATTTTGACTGACCCAAGGCCAGTTGAGCAGTGTGGAAAATGTCCTTATCACGGTGATGGTTAGATGCAATTGCAATGGTTTATAAGGATGCCCAGCATGTATTTTGACAATCCCCCATACTTATTATATAGGCAGTACAACCTCCCACACTTACCAACAAACCACCGCCGACTTATATCCCCTATGTATCCCCTATGTTTTTGCTGGTCAAAACCCTCCACCCTTCGGGTCGCGCACCTTGCTGAGGGCATCAGATGCCTGGCTTGGCGCCAGCTGTGCCAACAACCAGGACTTGGCGAAGCTGCCTACCGCAGCTGGAAGATACCAATGAGATCACCATGATGTTTATTGGTAACCGTGGAACAACAAACTACATATGGAGGTGTCCTAAAATGGGGGTACCTCCAAATCGTCCAACATTAGACCATTTTAGTTATTGAAACCTATGGTGACTTGGGGATTTCCCATTTCAAGAAACCCCCATCTGTTGTTGTGATATGCTGGTGAACCACTTTTTGAAAGCTACGGCCTTTGCCAAATGTTGGGCAGCCTTGAGGTTTCACCACCTGAGTGAACCGATCTAGCTGAAAAGTGACCGGACTTGTCTGGGTACGAGTAGCGTTGCCCTTGATTCATTGATTTATCGATAGTGTTCTGGTTGGTGGTTTGGAACATCTTTTACTTTTCCATATATTGGGAATAATCATCCCAACTGACTGATATTTTTCAGAGGGGATGAAACCACTAACCAGTGTTCCATGTAACGTGCAGTACTTTCCTTTGGTGCGCCGCTAAGCTGATGGCCACTGCGATCCAATCATCCTCCAGCACAATCTGCAGCCTGCCCAGGGGCACTGAGGCCTACGGTGGTTGTCATGTCTATCTATGCAGAGATCGATACATATACCAATATGTATGCATACATGATACTTATCAAACATATATGGTATACATATGCATATAATTATGTAGATTATATAGCATCAGTATAATTATTCACACACACCATATAACTGTATATATTTATATCTGAAATTTTCCAAATAGGCATTCTAACTTTCAGTCCGGCAGTATATATACCAATCATCACTTTTGTTGTGAGTTCAGAAGATCCACGCAGCACGGCCTCGTTCCCAGATGGTTGCTGAGGGACTCCACTGCTCTGGGATCCTCACATCGCGATGGGATGACAACGCTCCGTAAAGATGTCACTAATTCATGTTGGTGTATTTATATACAGATTACATGACACAAACGTAAGTAAATAGCTATATAAATCAATGAATATAATCTCTATATATATATAATTATATAGTTATTTAAATTATATTTATTAAGATATCTATAGATGGACATTTGCAATGCAGCATGAATGTCTTGAGGTATGACCTCACCACGTCTTGAAGAGTCCTGAAGGTGTTTGTTTTGAACATGCGCTTGAAGGTCGTTGTCAGTCTTGAAGCGGCGATTGCACAAATTGCACGCGACCTTCCACATCCGCAAAAAACACCCAAACTAATGCATAGTGATTACGCATCATTCAGAAATCCATCATTAAATTGGTTCATGGCTTCATTGATCTGTTTTTTCATCATCCAGAATCATTGACACTGACATATGCACAATCCCTAAATATCCCTATGATACAGATAGACAGATAGAACTACAAAAATATAGATAGATATAGAACCAATGTATGCAAATGGCCTCAGAAGCCAAACAATCAATAACCAGCAGGTGGGGCCAAAGGCATCCAAAGGCCCTGGCCAACTCCGGTGGAAATCCCTTCTCTATGTAATTAGGAGTTATGCTGGTTGGCTCATGGTAGCCTTACCAAGGCCCAATGAAGCATAACAGGATGCAATAGACACCATGTTTGAAGAGGTACTATCATACACCTATGGATAAGCCCCAGCACAAGCTCTACTGCATACAGCCATGGTTATGGTTGTTATATCTAAACAAAAATCAGCCCATGGCGTCTGCTGGTGCTTGATTGGCTCCAACAGCCAGCGGCCTTGTCACTTCTTTTTTCCTTTCCACGCCCCATGCAACATTCCTGGAGACGCCTGCGCATGTCACAGGTCGGGGCAGGTCGGAGCCCCCCCGATGGATTCGAGTGGATTCAGCCACCAACTGCACAAGTCACATCAAGTCACCATGAATTCTGATTCCTAAGCTCCAGAGATTTCTAGGGCAATAGGACCACCCGCCATCGTTTCTGCCTCCAAGGAAGAATTGTCCGGAGAGAATGGAAAGGGTCCATGGCGGGCAGCGCGTGGTATCAAGGATAGATTGGTGGGGATAGATTGGTGATCTCCTGATGTCTCCTGTTTGGAAGTGGGAAAATTGACAAAAAGTAGCATATCTCATCTCTCCAAACCACTTCAATTTAAACCATGTTAAACCACCATCCGACTCTCCCGTGCTTGGAGTTCAAAAATCCAGAGGTTTGGTACTGATCCTACACCGCTGCTCGGGCCAAAGTTCAGGGGCGTGCAGTAACATTCATGACAAAAGAACTGGATGTTAGAAAGGGCCAGTTCCCAATTCTACTTGAAACTCATTCGCCCTCCATCTGTGATGGCAACTGCCCGCGATGTGGTTCCTAGCCAAGTTTTGGATGGTCATCCCAGTGAGTTATAAATTGGTTTAGTTTCACACATCCAACTGTTAACAGGTCCACCATAAATCCATCCCTACATGGCAACCATAAATCATGGGTTCTATGAAAACCCACTCTGGGGCAGCCCTTTCCCTTTCAGCGTCGCGGTGGGTTGCGCACGGTGCCGGCGAATTCGGGACGGCTCGTCGGCTCAGGGCCTCGGTTGATATCGGTTGAAGGTTCCAAAATTCCAACCTCACCACAGTGCCGAGAATGCCATTCTGATATCTTTCTGGAAAAATTGTGCATGATTTGATTCCTGCTCAAATACTATGGTGAGCAGATTTTGGGTGAAGAATTTCCATCTCTGGATCTTCACTCCTCTGGTTCGGTGCTGACCCATCCCCAGAAGTCCGAGCTCCAGTGCCGGAGCGAGAAACCGCCCCTGACAGCCGCAGTCACGTCAGGACTCAGAAAAGAGCGCCGTGGTCTCCCAAGGGAAGCTGCATATGTTTATTTATTACTTTTCGGGCCTTGTATTTTCTGTTAAAGATGTTGCCGTTGCCATCATCTGGTTGGGAAACTCAATTCGTAGCTCCTTGGCTCCCCCAAAAAAAGTAAATATGGTAACATGAATACCCCTAGTTCCCTCCAAGCCACTGGATATTTTGAATCACCAAACAGTAATTTCCCTGTCCAACACAGTCCTCCGGCTGATGCTGGGCCTGCACCCTTCAACGCCGCACTTCGTTGTCGGAAGAACTAGGGAAGCAAATGAGCCAAAAACAGCAGCAGGAGATCAGAGGTACTTCTTCAGTCTCAGGACTCCTTGGTTTCATCATATGGTTTCCATAGTATCATTCAGTTTCTGGTAACCTCCAAGAGCACCGGAGATATGCAAATTTTCACGCAGAATCCACCTGTCCGAAGGACAGGGATCAAAGTTCCCGAGCTGACAGGGTCACAATGGCATCAATGCATTTGCTTCAGGCGTATGACACCCAACACAAGGCAAAATCAAGCATCGACTGGTTTATTGTTTTGGGGCACAATTTGACAAAGCATTGGTCACTATTTTCCGGGATCATTTAAGAAATGAGGATGGAACAAAGAAACATGAAATTCACAGGCAACCCATTCCTGACCTTGAAATAAAAAACCCGGTTTGGTGGATCGGTTCATTCTTGGAGCCACAAATGGGGCCAAGGGTGCGGGAACTCCAAGCAGCTGCACCTCATGTCTGTCCCCAACCTTGTATCGGATGCACCTCTACCAGACAGGCTACATCTAGACAATTACTCGTGCTTGTTGTTGGCTAGATTTGTGACCACAGCCCGTAAAATGCTAGGATATCTGTCTGCATTTACATGCTGCATATCTACAAATACATAGGTCTGAGTCTCTTTCAGACTGTGCTTGTATATATCTCTCTATATATATATATTAATTCATATTATACCCTCACGGAGATACACAAAAAATCGCGGATTGTTGTTGAATTCCAGCTAGCAGTTGTTCACTTGGCAACTGCGGCATCAAACTTCTCAGCTCTCTTCGACACCAAGCCGTTGGCCTTGCAAGCGTTCAAGGGGAGCGGTTTACCTTGTGATCCTTTGTGTATCTAGAATCATCTATCTTTCAAGTCTGTTCCCTCCCAACCTCTGCCTCCCTCCTTGTCCGTCCTGTCTCTCTCCCTCTGTCTATAAACAAACAAAAAATAAACAGATACATGTAATATGCACCATGATTTTCAAACAAACAATGATAACTATTATGAAGCACTGCTTTTTTACTGAAGACACTCGTTGAAATGTTCAAACTGCAGCGAAGGCATTCCATGGAGCGAAGACAGGCACATCCTTTTCTGTTGCTGATAATCATATTATGTATATATATACAGTATATACATGAGACATAAAGCAATTGTGAGACAAGCGGTGAGACACAGTTGCCGGCCCTCTTCAAAACATCTTGGCCCAGGATCAAGCATGTTCCCTCTGCTGTTGACGTATTTGAAGAAGACCAGTGCTATCAGGACTGTACTTCGGGTGTCATTTATCAAGTAAAATGTTCTTATTGCTTCTATGGCCTTAACTTTTAAGGTAGGCAACAACATGCCGTGTCTCCTGACCTACGCTTCAAAAGATGCAGTAGACTCACGGCCCTCACATGGAACCAAATTCTGTGAGTGCAACGGGCTGGAAGCGGCCCCGAACTTGCCTAGGAGATTGGAATTCAGCAGCGCCCGTAGCATCTGGCCAAAATGCCTCACATCCTTGGAAGTATGTCGGCATTCCTTGAGAATGCGACTGTTTTCCCGGCGCAAGGTCACAAAATCGATGGGTTTCACATTGCCCCGGAGTTTCGAAATGCCCTGGCAAAACTCGGTGATTGTCACTAGACCATCCCCATCATCCAAAATGTCGAAGAGAATACCTCAGCGGCCATGTCACCAACAGTTTGCAAAATGGTGGTGCGTCAGGCATACCTGACATGAGATTCTGATTACTATATATAAATAAATGTATATATGTATGATGTGTATATATATATATACATGAGTAGCGGACAAAACTATGTGCTAAATGTAATGCCATGCACAAATTCGGGTCGTCCCCTATTGGTTCTGAGGATTTCAATCTTCCCGGAGGTATCACAAATGGGGGTATCGGATGGTATCGGTATAGGGCCGGCCCCTGTCGGTTATGAAGGTTTTGTGCAACCTCGGAAAGGCCAAGGCAAAGCAAAACTAAATTATATATAATAATTTTGTCGGTTACACACACATATATATATATATAAATATTATTGTATACATCACATGACTTTATGCTTACATGTAGGTTGGCATTCGCAAAGCGTTGCATTGCATTCATACATACACTGCCTTGCGTTGCTGTTGAATTGGCTAAATTACATTGCTTTATCTTCGCATTGCACTGCATTACGATGGAGTACTTGCAGTACATCAACATCATATTATACTATATACCAAAATTATCTTAAATTGCATTACATATCATTATATTACATTATACTGTGCTACATTACATTGCAATACTTTACGTTTCAACACATTATATATCAAGTCGCATTACATTGCATTACACCCAATTACACTACAGAAGATGTGTTGCCCGAAAGCCCGAGAATAGTCCTTTCCTAGGCCGAGGGTAGAGATCTGAAACACGTTGACTTTATAACAGGAGTGCAGCAGGCCAGCCTTCATGAAAAACCAGAACATCATCACAGGAACTATACTGACTATACTTGTTTTCCAAATGACATCCAATGTCCAAGCAATTATGCTCCTCAGATTGAAGACATCAATCATTATCTTAGGGATCAACATCGAACCGAAACCACCCATACCGAGTTTGAAGGCAATTTTTCAGGGAGATGGGAGGAGACAAACACCACACTCCCAAAACAATCTTTTGGTTACTGTATTTTGTACTAATTTAATTCAGTCCAAATCACCAACATTCACCAACCATATGGGCTTGTCTGAAAAATAGTGCACCCCTAAATCCATTGGATTATCATCATGCTATAGTTTTTGCATATGGGGGCATGCACTATTTCAGACACACCCATGTAATATAATGTAGGTAACAGAATAACAAACCACCCATTTGGGAATGGTTTATACCATCTATAAAAATGTTGATTTGGGGGATGGTTTATTTTTGCTTAACCCAAATAAAAACATATTGGGCTGTATGGCGCCAGATTACGAGAATCGTTGACCGTCACATCCAAAACCTTCAGGTAGTGCTGCACACTTCGAAGGTTCATCGTTTCCATGAACTCCTGAAGGGTGAGGAGGCCGTCCCCGTCGTTGTCCGCCAATCCTGATGTTGAGATGACCATGGGACCCAGGATCAGAGATGTCAGATGTCAAATCCATGGATTTCCCTGGGAAAATGATTTATAATTTATATTGGGTTTGTCATCTCTATGACATTTATATACATTTATTGGGTGGTAAATGTTGTTTTAAAGTTTGCTTTCCAGCAGTAGCTCCTCCTCCAAACTCAGTTTTGACGGTTGCAAGTTGGATTTCAGCGTGAAGTACTCAACAAAAAATTGAAGCAACCCGTCAGAAACAAAAAAACATGTCTAAAAGGACGAATCAACATTTGCAAACACTGATCAGCCATCATGTGTCGTGTCAGGCACATTGGTATATCAATGTATATCATACCTCCAGTATTCTCTAGTCATTTTGAGCACACAGCAAGCGTAGATCCCGGCAGGAAAAGACCTCTCCTGGCAAACAATACGGGAGTCATTCCTTTTCCCAGCACAGAGTAAGCACAACAAAGTTTCCGGGCAAATTATGTCAAATGCTAAAAGATCAATTCCTAAAAGTGGAAAACTTGGCCATTTAATGGTACACTTCTCCCAACCCAAAAAAACAACGATTCCAAGCCACGGAAGAGTCCCTCGATCTTGTTCTGATAGGCCTTGGACACGCGCTCGCTGTCTTCCAACATCATGTCCGCATCGTTGGCTGCCGAGTGCAGAGTCTCCTTCAAGAACAGCGCAGTGACCTGGACGTCAAAACCCAAATGGTACGGATGGACACTTGGTAAAATAGATGGATTCAAAACCAACACAGCTAGTTTATCAAAGTAGAGTTATATAATATATAGAGTATAAAATGTTATGTTATGTTATAATTATATCATAATTTTGTTATATCCTCATTTGTGTTGACGATATTCCCATGTTCATCTTTGTCCATCCCAGCAACGATTTTTATGACCGCGAAGACCACCAATGCGATGTAAGACAGAAAGGGTATGGCATACCATCCACTGACTTTGGAAGTCACAGGTCGCACACGTGCAGGCCAACTCCCGCTGAATGTGATCTCAAACATCCTGGCCACAAGGCCAACGTTGCTCCATGGCCACCCCAGATATAAAGAGGTAAAATGGGCACATAAAGAAGTACAAATGTTACCCCCTGTGGTTATTACCTATCGTGGGTTGGAGCAACTTAAAAAACAAATTCACTTGTCTGTCAAGGATGGGGACGTTCAAAGATAAATTTTCAGAACTAAGCAGAATGTGGATGTTCATCAAAAAGATAAATATCAGGGATCAAAACAAATTAAATATCTTTGGGATCAAAAATGTTCGAAACGGATCGGAAACAAAAATTCATTGGGATCAAAAAAATACTCTGCAAACTTTGTATGGGTAGTCATTAGTTATTTTTTTTAAAGGCATGTGCCCTCTTTCAAGCCCTGCATGCATGTTTTTGGGGGTATGCACTTGTTTTTCGGACCCGCCTACCGATGCTATTTTTTGTTTAGGCCGTTTGTTCTGTCTGTTGGTTGTTGAAAGTTGGAAACGGGCATTTGTGGAACATGTTGGCAATTAAATCCGTCATGTTGTGATGTTGCTATGGGTTGTTGATGGTCGTTGGTGGCGTAGGGGTTGCACGTTATATTGACTCCCTGTTGTTGGCGTGGAGGTCGCCGCGTTCACCCCCATGGCGTTCAGGTTGCTCAGGTTTTTTCTTCCAGTTTTTTGTTCTGTATGTAGGTTGTCGCAAATTACTAAATGATTTTTTGTCTATCATGCAAAACGGTTGAAAATCAAAACCTTCATCTCGCAGTCATCTCGCATGGTGTTTGCTCATCCAAGCCACTTTGAGCCCAGGTAAAACAAGGAATAAAAATAATGAAAATATGTAAACAGATGTGAATGCATGAGAAAATGAACGATTTTGATTCTTTGCTGACATATTCATAAGCCCACGCCATTGTAACAGCAAATAGTGGCCTTAGGAGCATAAGATATGTGCCCCACTATGTTTGAAAGATCACACCTGCAAGAGACCCCAAGCAGCGTGGGGGGTAGGATGTCAATGTAACAGATACAAGCAACAGCAGCTATGGAGCAGCAACAGGTGAGATTAGACATTATCGCAACTGTAGCAGCAGGACCCTCTATATAGATCTAAAAAGAGGAACAGCACCAACGCAGAGCATCTTCAAGATCTTAATGCAAGGACATCGCAAGGAGGATTTCAACAGGATCTCCACAAGACCTTCTCACAAGGACCTGTACCAGATCATGTCCAATGTAAGGACACCTAGGGCCCCAGAGGATTTCACCAGAACACGCCAAGAGCTTCCCACAAGGACCTGTACAAGATCATGCAAAAGCCCCTGACAGCATTTCACGGGGATCGACACAAGATCTTCCCACAAGGACTTGTAAAAGACCTTGACCATCTTTGACAAAGATCTGCATGGTAGGGCCCCCAAGAGAATCTCACAAGGTCGTCAAAAAAAGGACCTGCTGCTGTTGCTGGAGCGGATCTTGCAAGATCTGAATACAAGAACCCCCCAAGAGCCTCCCACAAGAGCTGTCATACAAGCACCTATAAGACATGGCATCTGCAAGATCTTCATGCAAGGACCTCTTGGAGAGGATCCCACCAGGATCTCCACAAGATTTTCTGCTCAGGACATGAACAGGATCATGCAAGGGCCTCTTAGGTAGGAATTTTGCAGGATCTCCGCAAGAGCCCGTTCACGCAAGAATTTCACAAGAAAATGCCGCAGATCAAGAGCTTGAGAACCCTGCGGCGCACACTTCGCGCGAGCCTGCGCAATCGAAATGCAAATAGAAATCTCACAAAAACCATTTATGCAAGAATGTACAAGAAAAATGCCGCGCTCCAGGTGCGCGACAACCACTCTGTGCCAGCCAGCGCGGTCGAAATGCTGCACATGGACTTTGTGCAAGAATCCTCTTGCGAGAATTTACGGGAAAAATACCGCGCCCCAGGAGAGCGACAGCAACTTGGCGCAAGCCTGCGCAATCAAAATGCATATATAAGACATCTCACAAGAACCATTTTATGCGAGAATTTACGGGAAAATGCCGCGCCCCGACGAGAGCGACAACCACTTTGCGCAAGCCTGCGCAATCGAAATGCACATGGAAATCTCACACAAGCCATTTTATGCGGAAATTTGCAGGAAAAAAGCCGCGCCCCTCGAGAGCGACAACAACTTTGTGCGAGTCTGCGCAGGCGAAATGCACATGGACATTTGCACAAGAGTCCTCATGGGAGGATGTACAGGAAAAATTCCGCGCCCCAGAACTTAGGCAAAGCCGCGGCGCAGAACACGTCATAATGTTTGATGCCCAACATCACTTCATGATACTTTTCCGAAATTACACAAAACTAGCATTACGCATGCCCGGCAACCGGAACAACTTACGGCATGGTATCTGCAACATTTTGAAGCTGAAAAAGTCTCATTTTGCAGTACATACGATTGCAACTCTGGAACTCGAACTTCGTCTTTGCATGCCCTGGTTTGCATGGTATGTTTTCCCCTCCTTGCTTGCTTCATTCCTTAGTTGCTACCTGTCATTTGGCATTGTTTTGCCAACATTTTGGACCTGGAATCTTTCATTTGACATGGTACATCCCGCATAGAGCTCGAACCATTCATTTGGGCATAGAGTTGTTTCCCTTCTTTCCTTCCTTCCCTCCTTCCTTCCTTTCTAGTAATACTTCTTGATCCTTAATATGCCTCAAGCTTTTTTGCTCTATTCCTCGATCTTTTTTGTTCATATATATGTGTGTGTGTGTGATATGATATGATTATATAAGTTTGATCCTCATACCAATAATAAAGGTGGAGAACACAAGTCTTTTGAAACCATCGCCCAGCATCGTGTAAACGGTCTTCAAGAAATTGCCATAGTACTGGCGCATTTCCAGTCTGTCGGCCAACTCTTCCCTTTCGTCGGCAATGAACAACTGCAATGCTTGGCAAATTGCCAGGGCAAATCCAATTTGCAGAACCATCAATAGAACCTGGGCGATTTGCGGTCCTGCTACAAGCCCCACACGATCAACAGCTTTCTACTGCGAAATCAAGTTGCCACAAAATGATGCAAAATGTTAGATGCCAAACACCCGGCACTGAAACTGGACACCACCGAGGAACCATGGACCAAAACAATGCACCAATGCTCGCAACACAGGTTCCGACCAAAATCCGCAACTGACGGAATAACGAGACCTTGTGACGCGGGTGGTGCCCAGCCACAAGGGTGCCCCGCACGTTGCTCACTCTGTCAACGACCAGATATTACCCATGTTCGATTGGCACTGGAGCAGAATGAAAACAGTAAATCTACATGAACCGTCGCCAGGTCCAGAGAACCACCCAAAACACATTTGAGCATTGGTCAGTGGAGAAAAATTATGCCTTATGCGAAATTCATCCATGTCAATTCCATTCTTTGCAAATCCTTGGGGCATGTTTGTATGTTCTTTAGCCAAAGCACTGTCTTAAAAATACGCAAGGTGCGGATGATCCGCACCAGTTTGATGACCCGAATGGGCGTGGCATTTTGATGCTGGTCTCCCATGTAGAGCCTGACATCGTTAGTTGCGTTGGCATTTCTGGACTGGTGGTTGGTAAAGGTTGGTGGTGTCAACATGTGTAACCCCCCCTGGGTTGATACTGTAGCAGCTGTTGAAAGTTTCCTAATGGGAAAAAAACATGAACAAGTAAGTGTTGATCACCGAAATAGGGAAAAGGACCAAGAAGGGTGAGGATACAGTCTGACGGATGCAGGCAGCAATAGTTGTGCAATCCCTGCTGAACAGACTTTCAGCAATGGTGGAATACCACCAACGCAAGCACTTCCCAAACGTTGGCAGACCTGAATGATGTAATAAACAAATATGATCGATGCGGATGTGGATGTTTCTTTCACTCGAAGAATACCCCAACAGCAGGCCTAAAGAACTGGTTGAGGTTACCCAAATATGAACGGGGGATGATAGAAAAAGAACAAATTGGCACATGGATGCGCCCAATGTCATCCAACGCATCACTCCAAACGCAAGCCACTCTATCATCCTTCCAAAATTTCACCAAATCAGCCACCGTTCCCAGACCCCTTTTCTCCAGAGATGATCCCCTTGAGGCTCCGACGCTGGTAAAGCAAACAACTCGAAAATGTTGATCATCACAAGGACTGCATCGAACATGTTGAGGTACATCCAGCCTTCAATTCGATCGTAATACCATTCCTTCCTCAAAATGATAATCCGAACCACTAGATCAAAGAAATAGATGCCTCGTTGATGCTCAGGGCACGTGCTCAAATTGGACTTTTCGTGGTTTTCACTTCAGGCTATGGCAACCCAACTAAATAGCTAAAACAAACTCACAGAAAAACAAAACTTAGCCAGCCAGATGCTGAAAAAGACATATTCCGCCACTTCAAAGGTGTTTTCAGATACCCCGTGCCATGCGTGCTTGGCCATGCCAAGACCGTAGTCTGCCTGGGCCGCCTGAAACTCGGTCATGGCTGCAATGAAAACCAGGTTGATGATGACCACCAAACTCATGTAGGAATCCAAGGAGCGCTTGACAAAAACTTTGAAGGGCGGATCCTTGGAGATGCGCGCATGCGAATAGATTTCCCAAAGGGTTCGAATTGCCCAAAAATGGAAAACCCTAGAACTAAGATGCTAACATGATCCAAGGGTGTAACATCATATGCCCGAACATAAGATTGCCATTCTGGCGTCTCCCATTTTCAGACACATCAGCCTGTGTTTCCAGCAACTCCATATGACAGTCATGATGGTATGGGGCATCACATTCCAAACCACTGGCAAAGCAACAGGCTGTTGAGCCTTCCCAGTTCCATAGATCCGGGTCTCCGGAATGCACGCCATCTTGTGGAAATATGGTAATGTACAATATGTTGCCCACATTTATGATATCAACTTTGGGCATAATACTGCAGATGTACTCAGATATGGACATGTCATTTAAAATGTTACTCCACATTTCCCAATGGTTTGCAATAGATCTGGCTGAAATGGAAATAATTCACTGACATGAAAATACTTGAAATAGGGCAATGTGGGGATGATTCCCCTATACATTGATCATCATTCCTGTGACGTCACGACGTGAGGTCGTGATCAAACTCATCCAGCAAAATTAAAAATCATAACTATTATTTTTATGTCCTCCTTTGCCCATATAAAGTTAAAACCAGAAACAACACAATGAGTTCCCATAGTATAATCATGTATTCTCCCCAAATTAACTCATCTTGGCCCACAAATCAACGTCAACGCCTGGACTCGGGTGCAAGCTTTTCGCTCAGGATGTGTTTTCCCAAGCGTGGCACTGGAGCTTGCACGCCCGGGGAGCCCGTCTCGCTTTCCTTCCGGGAACATCCAGGTGCCATCAAGTTTTTGGGGCCACAGAAAGGCAGGACCCCACAATGTGGATTACAGTAGTGTATTCTACCAGTCGTACCGCACAAAACAGCGGCGGAATTTTCAAAGATAGGAATTTATAGGCAAGGTCAGCTGTGATGCGTGGATGGCAGAGCGAATCCACTGATGGACCGAAACGTGGTTGGAGCTGTGCTTTTTGGAATAGTTGCAGTGCTCACCTCACACACACAACTTCTGGATGTAGTGTGGTGTCATGTACCTGGAGCTGTAGTTGTAATTTTACTTGTAACTGTGGTGTAGTGGTAGTCCCAGCTGTAGCTCTAGCTGTCGCTGTCGCCGTAGCTATAATAGTAGTAGTAGTAGTAATAATAGTAGTAGTAGTAGTAGTAGGAGGAGGTGTAGTAGGAGTAGTAGTCGGTGGTAGTCGGTGGTAGTAGGTGGTAGTAGGTGGCAGTAGGTGGTAGTAGGTGGTAGTAGGTGGTAGTAGGTGGTAGTAGGTGGTAGGTGGTAGGAGGGGGTAGTAGGTGGTAGTAGGTGGTAGTAGGTGGTAGTAGGTGGTAGTAGGTGGTAGTAGGTGGTAGTAGGTGGTAGTAGGTGGTAGTAGGTGGTAGTAGGTGGTAGTAGGTGGTAGTAGGTGGTAGTAGGTGGTAGTAGGTGGTAGTAGTAGTAGTAGTAGTAACAGTAGTAGTAGTAGTAATAATAGTAATAGTAGTAATAGTAGTAGTAGTAGTAGGAGTAGCAATAGTAGTAGGAGTAGGAGTAGGAGTAGGAATAGGAGTAGGAGTAGTAGTAGTAGTAGTGGTAGTAGTAGTAGTAGTTTGAGTAGCACCAGGAGTAGCAGGAGTAGTAGCAGTAGTATTAGCAGTAGTAGTAGCAGTAGTAGTAGCAGTAGTAGTTAGCAGGTAGCAGGTAGCAGGTAGCAGGTAGTAGTAGTAGTAGTAGTAGTAGGAGTAGTAGTAACAGTAGTAACAGTAGTAACAGTAGAAACAGTAGTAACAGTAGTAACAGTAGTAACAGTAGTAACAGTAGTAACAGTAGTAACAGTAGTAAGAGTAGTAACAGTAGTAACAGTAGTAACAGTAGTAACAGTAGTAACAGTAGTAACAGTAGTAACAGTGGTAACAGTAGTAACAGTAGTAACAGTAGTAAGAGTAGTAACAGTAGTAACAGTAGTAACAGTAGTAACAGTAGTAACAGTAGTAACAGTAGTAAGAGTAGTAACAGTAGTAACAGTAGTAACAGCACTAGTAACAGTAACAGTAGTAACAGCAGTAACAGCAGTAACAGCAGTAACAGTAGTAACAGTAGTAACAGTAGTAGCAGTAGTAGTAGTAGTAGTAATAGTAGTAGTAGTAGTGGCAGTAGTAGTAGTAGTAGTAGTAATAGTAGTAGTAGTAGTAGTAGTAGTAGTAATAGCAGTAGTAGTAGTAGTAGTAGTAGTAGCTGTAGTAGTAGTAGTAGTAGTAGTAGGGGTAGTAGTAGTAGTAGTAGTAGCACTAGTAGTAGCAGTAGTAGTAGTAGTAGTAGTAGTAGTAGCTGTAGTAGTAGTAGTAATAGCAGTAGTAGTAGTAATAGCAATAAAAGTAGTAGTAGTAGTAGTAGCAGTAGTAGTAGTAGTAAAAGTAGTAGTAGTAGTATCAGTACTAGTAGTATAGTAGTAGTAGTAGTAGTAGTAGGAGGAGTAGGAGTAGTAGCAGTAGCAGTAGCATTAGTACTAGTTGTAGCAATGGTTGTAGTAGGGGTAATAATAGTAGTAGTAGTAGCAGTAGCAGTAATAATAGTGGTAGTGGCAATGGTAATGGTAATGGTAGTGGTGGTAGTAGTAATAGTAGTAGTTGTAGTAGTAGTAGCAGGAGTAGTAGCTGTAGTAGTAGTAGTTGTTGTTGTTGCTGTTGTAGCAGTAGTAGTAGTAGTGGTAGGACCAGGAGTAGGAGGAATAAGAATAGGAATAGTACTAGCAGTAGTAGTAGTAGTAGTAGTGATATTAGTAGTAGTAGTAGTAGTAATAGTCGTAGTAGTAGCAGTAGTAGTAGTAGTAATAGTAGTAGTTGTTGTTGTAGTAGGAGTAGGAGTAGGAGTAGGAGTAGGAGTAGTAGTAGTAGTAGTAGTAACAGTAGCGCCAGTAAAAGCAGTAGTAGCAGTAGGGTGTATGTAGTAGAGGGCTGCTACTACTACTACTACTACAACGACTACGACTACGACTACTACTACTACTACCACCTATTACTTCGACTGCTGCTACTACTACTACTACCACCTACTACCACCTACTACCACCTACTACAACCTACTACCGCCTACTACCACCTACTACCACCTACTACCACCTACTACCACCTACTACCACCTACTACCACCTACTACCACCTACTACCACCTACTACCACCTACTACCACCTACTACCGCCTACTACCGCCTACTACCACCTACTACCACCTCCTACCCCCTCCTACCACCTACTACCTACTACCACCTACTACCACCTACTACCACCTACTACCACCTACTACCACCTACTACCACGTACTACTACTCCTACTACACCTCCTCCTCCTCCTACTACACCTCCTCCTCCTCCTCCTACTACTACTACTACTATTATTACTACTACTACTACCACTACCACTAACACTAACACTACCACTACCACTACCACCACCACCACCACCACGACGACGACGACGACTACTACTACTACTTGTTGTTGTTGTTGTCGTCTCGTGTCGTGTCGTGTCTTGTCGTGTGGTGCCGCTGAAGATCCAAAGTGGTCCGAACGTGGTGTGTGCTTTTCACAATTTGATTTCGGCATGTGCTTCGCGCCAAAACGGAGTGCACTTTTTGAACATATCAACTTCCAAAAGTGTTCCAAGAATGGTGTGCTTTGAGCATTTTGGCTTCCAAATGTGCTTCGCGCCACAACGGCGTGCACTTTTTGAACATGAAACTTCCAAAAGTGCTCCGAACGTGGTGTTATCCGCATTTTGGCTTCGACATTTGCTTCGTGCCATAGCCACGTGCGCTTTTTAAAGGGCTGAACTTCCAAAAGTGCTCCAAGAATGGTGTGCTTCGTGCCACGACAGCGTGCACTTGTTGAACAACTTTCTAAAAGTGCTCCGGGAATGGTGTGTTTTGCGCATTTTGACTTGGAAATGTGCTTTGCAAAAGCTATAGTTTAGCTATGGCCTATGGAAGTATGGAAAAATGTGGGAAGTATGCTTAAGGAAAAATCTATGGTCTATGGAAGTAAAGCTATTGGGCGAGCAATTGCGTACTTGGCGAAAATTCAGCTGTTGCCCACTGAGCACCCAACAGCCCGGATGGTGCTTGCATCTGTACCTACTGTTAGCGAAACTTGGGTTAGTTCTGTGAAAGAACTGATGTCTACCTTTCCAGTCTCTTCCTTGTACGTGGTGATGCAAAGTGGCGCACGGTTCTCTAAACAAAATACAAAACGCATGTGGTTTTTCCTGCATTATGCTCCAGGGATGGCGCAGCTAGCAAGTCTTTGCTTGGACCTGGGGTTACCTATCATGATTTGGTCCCTCAGCGTTCAACTCAGGGGTGGGATTAGTTACTTCCGCTGTTGAACTGAAGATTGGAAGCTAGTTAAAGTGTGGGCTTTCATATGGCTCCGGCAACATGGGTTGGGGGTAGTGAGAATGTTGCGACTCTGCTACAGTGCCCCCGTTGTCACCAGCAGCATATAAAAATGTTGCATTCACTCTACAGTTGCGTGGTACCATGGCTGATTTCCTTGATCCAGACTTGATGCCTTATGTTTCTAAGCAGTTTCCCATACAATGCTTTGTGGTGTCACTATTTCACTCTTCTGTGTCAGCTGAAGTTGATGCGGCCAGGGCCAAGTTCGTTGGCCGGATTATTTTGAGGATATTACTGTATCTGAAGCTGCACCGATGTAAAATCGTGTCCAAACTGGTCTGCATGTATCATTTAGGCTACTGTGGTAACCCTAAGGGTGGCTTCTTAGTACTGATGTTGCCTCACAGGTGCCGTTACTTGGCATGCTTTCTATGTGTGCGTCACAACGACCCGCTCGGCTTTGCCCACGGGTAATGCGTGGCCCATTTTCACCTCTCACACATCTGCGTTTATCTCCCAGGTGGGCGTGATTAACTCACATGTTCATATGCTCACATGCTAATATTGTCGAATATGCAGACATGGAATGCCATGGCAGATGAAGCTAGGCCCCGCTGTAGCAGGAAGGTACTTTTTTGCGCCTAAAATTCAGCTCAAACCTGAATTGAGCTTCCCGGGATATTATCCATCCGGGTTGACATTAAGGATATTTGTCCCTTGATAATATTTAATAATTTGCTATGTTTAAGTTGTATAGCGAGGGATTGGCTGGGATATGAGCGGGGACGTAGCTATGCAGCATTTTGATTGATACTACAAACTGTCCCCAATTATCAACCTTTAGGGGGGCTATAAAACGCCCAGAATTAGGGGTACACCCGATTTCACTAACCACACTAAGACCACTAATTTTAGATATTTTCACTTTAGGCACTTAACGAGGATATAAGCATGTAATAAGTTGCTAGTATCCTACTAATATCTTGTTTAAATTGTTTTTCTGAATTTATTCTGCGTTAAATTCCACTTATTTTTTACTTGAACTTAGTACAACATATTAAAGATATAATCAGATATAGTTGAATATTGTTCTAAAATAACTGATTTTTTTTGAAAATATATGAAAATATCTGGAAATAAGTTCAATGCATGTTTTTCGATTGAGCAACGGAATTGGATTGCAACAGCCACCAAATGATCTGAGGTGAAAATGGTTGCTGCCCAAGAATAGTTGCAGACATAGATACCTGAAAACTATGGTTCCTGCAAAGGAAAGTTCCAGTAAAGGAGATACCATCCTTTTCAGGAACTCTCCTTTGCTGGAACTTTCCTTTACAGGAACCATCCTTTTCAGGAACCCTCCTTTGCTGGAACTTTCCCTTA